AAGCTTTTAAACAGCGCTTCCCAAACCACAATTCAGTCGTACCAATTTACCATGTCTATAGTTCAACAAATAGGCTGTATAAAGTATATATTGTATTTAGTGACCCATATGACAAGAATAAAGGTATTAAAAAGTTAGAAATGATCAGGAGCAGCTTATTATGGATTATAAAAGGGATCAAAACATATTGCCATATTGCAAAATTCTGGTTTGTTTACTAGCATGAATGTATAGTATGCAAAGCATCTGTGTTTGCATTCATTAGTCCAGAACTGGAGCTTTATTCTCTTTGGTTTTTGTCCAGGACAGGACTCTGGACTCCGGTAAGGGCAGAGGCGGCGGGGTATGTGTTATGGTGAACTCTCGATGGGGAACAGATGTAGCAGTTCTAGCCAGTCGCTGCTCTCCAGACATTGAACTCATAACAGTCAAAGTTCGTCCCTTTTTTTTGCCCAGGGACTTCAGCTCAGTCATTCTCAGTACAGTCTACATCCCACCTCAGGCAGATAAGTCACGTGCTTTGGAGGTTTTGTACGAGACCATTAATGGACTTGAGAACGTTCACCCTGAGGCTGTTTTTATTGTGGTTGGGGATTTTAACAGGGCAAACTTGAAGAAAGTCCTGCCCAAATACTACCAGCACATTAAATTTCCCACCCGAGGAGAACAGACTCTTGACCACTGCTACACTGCAATCAAGGACAGTTACAAACCCCTCCCCCACCCTACGTTCGGCAAAGCTGATCACACCTCTATTCATCTCCTGCCTGCATACAAACAAAGACTTAAACAGGCAAAACCAGTTCTCAGATCAGTCTGTCAATGGAGTGATGAGGCCATCTTCACACTTCAGGACTGCTTTGAATCCACAGACTGGAAGATGTTCCGTGACGCGGCTGGCACAGACATCAATGAATACACTGACTCCATCACAAGCTACATCAATAAATGCACTGAAGACATTGTACCAAAAATCAATGTCAGAACATTTCCCAACCAGAAATCCTGGATCAATGCTGAGGTTCGAGCCAAACTAAGAGCTCGGGCTGCTGCCTACAACTCTGGTGACCCGGCTAGCTACAAGAAGGCCAGATATGACCTCCAGAGGACCATCAGGCTGGCCAAAAGGAGCTATAGGGACAGAGTGGAATCCAACTATCTTGGCTCTGATCTCAGACGTATGTGGAGTGGCCTGCGCACCATCACTGACTACAAAGAAGGTGTGATCTGTGATAGCAGCTCTTCCTCCTCACTTGCAGATGAACTTAATGCTCATTATGCTCGTTTTGAGGCAACTAACACCTCACCTGCTGAGAAACTCCCAGTAGATGAGGAGAGCTGCGCTCTAGCCATTCCCCTGTCTGAGGTGGTGAGATCCTTCAGGGCAGTTAACCCACGCAAGGCACCCGGTCCCGATGGCGTCCACAGCCGTGTACTTAAAGCATGTGCCAACCAGCTGGCTGAGGTTTTCACTGACGTCTTTAACCTCTCCTGAAGACTGTCAGTGATTCCCAAGTGCTTTAAGCAAACCACAATTGTTCCGGTCCCCAAGAAATCGTCTGTCACCTGCCTGAATGACTACCGCCCTGTTGCACTGACATCAACAGTTATGAAGTGCTTCGAGCAGCTGGTCAAAGCTCACATCTGTTTAACACTTCCAGCCACCATGAACCCTCACCAATTTGCATACCGCTCCAACAGATCCACAGATGACGCCATTGCACTAACAGTACACACTGCTCTCACACACTTGGACAGAAAGAATACATATGTAAGAATGCTGTTCATAGATTACAGCTCAGCATTCAACACAATCATCCCTGCCAAACTCATTCCTAAGCTCACAGACTTGGGTTTGAACTCTCATCTGTGCAACTGGATACTGGACTTCTTGACGAGCAGACCTCAGGTGGTGAAAGTTGGGAACAACTTCTCTTCCACACTGACTCTGAGCACAGGGGCTCCCCAGGGATGTGTGCTCAGCCCCCTCCTGTACTCCCTGTATACACATGACTGTGTAGCCAAACACACGTCTAACATCATCTTCAAGTTTGCTGATGACACCACCATCCTAGGCCTCATCACTGATGGAGATGAAACAGCCTACAGAGACGAGGTCAGCGCTCTGTCAGAGTGGTGTCATGACAGCAATCTCTGTCTCAACATCAGCAAAACAAAGGAGATGATTGTGGACTACAGGAAGCGGCAGAGGGGTGGTCACTCTCCCCTGTTCATCAATGGAGCCGAAGTGGAGAGAGTCAGCAGTGTGAAGTTCCTCGGCGTACACCTCACTGATGACCTCACCTGGTCCCTCCACACCAACACTATCGTAAGATTTGCCCGTCAGCGTCTCTTCTTTCTGCGCAGGCTCAGGAAGTTTGGTCTGCCTCCTCAGATCCTCACCAACTTCTACAGATGCACCATAGAGAGCATCCTCACAGGCTGCATCACTGTCTGGTACAGCAGCTGCACTGCCTGTGACCGCAAGGCCCTTAAAGGAGTGGTGAGGACAGCAGAAGCCATCATAGGCAACAGACTACCAGCCTTAGAGGATGTCTACCAGTCCCGCTGCCTCAGGAAGACCAAAAAAGATCCGGTCAGACAGCAGCCACCCAGCACACAGCCTGTTCACCATCCTACCATCAGGCAGGAGATTTCGTAGCATACAGGCTAGGACAACCCGGTTAATGAACAGTTTCTACCCACAGGCTGTCAGGCTTCTGAACAAGCTGTGAAGCTGTGGGTCCTTCACTAAATACCATTTCACTCAGTCTTTTGTCAGTATTATTATTACATCATGTCATCTCTGTTATGGACAATAACACCTTAACACTAAGCCACTTTAAGAACAATAACAGTCACTTAGTCACTTTAAAATGTATATTGTCTGTATATTTGTGTACATTTCTCTATATTTGTGTATATTTTTATCTGTATTTTCTCTATATTTTGTGTATATTTAATATATTTCAGTTAGTTTTTCTTGTAATTTTATTTTTACTTGTTTACTTTCTGTAGAGTGTTTGTCCGAGCCTCACCACAAGCATTTCAATGCATAAATGTCCTGACATGTTGTGCATATGACAAATAAACTTGAAACTTGAACTTGAAACTAAGTAAGCTGTTCTGGTACATGCTTCATGCTAAACGCATGCTAGGGGCTGTAGTATCTGTATCCCGCCTTCTCTCCACTGACCACAGCCATGCATCACTCAGGAGCCAGTGCTGTCAGTGTCTCCTCAGCACAACATGTGCTAGTGATAATCAGTTGTACTGCAGCCCTCATATAAATTGAGTTCAGTGTGACTGGAGCTAGTAGGGCACTGTTGTGGCATGAACCAGACCACCCCTGGTAAAGAGTGGTGAGAGGCTAACTGCTTTTCCTCTGGTTAGGTTTGGTGTGGCTTTTTCAAGCTGGGAGGTTGTCTCGGTGATGAGCAGCATTATGACCCATAAAAAATCAGCAAGGTCACACGTTACTGAGTTATTGACGAAAGCTCCCCTAACTGACACATCTATATTGCCAATTTTTTTAAATGTATTTATTGTATTTATTTTTTTGTAGCAACTGTTGTCAGTTTGGATGAAAAAATCCTATTCAACTTTAAGAGAAATTGTACTCTGCAATTTTAAGCATGTTATTCATTTGAAGTGATACTTTTTTGTATGCATGTGAAAGTTCACACACTTAGGGTGGTAATGGGCTGAAGGTTTTTATTTAGTTTTTTTTTGTGTGATCAAGTTTACAGTAGCATGGTGGCAAATTTGTTGTACTTTCCAGCCCGACTAGTTTCAGTTGGCTACAACAGTATAGTCCAGCTTAGTATTGTCACATTGTAAACTGGAAACTCAACATTATGTAATGGCTCTAAACAAAGCACTACAGTGTCTCATTACTTTCAGTGGGATTTTTGACAACATTCTGTGAAGCTTGTTAAACCTCTCTACAGCTGCTATGAAGGAATGCATTTGTAGGTGGAGCATAGATAGGTAAATTTGGCTTGGTCATTTGGCCTCGTGTTAAAGGGGAACTCCACCACTTTCAAAAAATCTGCATAATCTAATGGTTAAGATGTAAACAAAGTCATTCAGGGTAGTTTGGTGCAAACACTTAATTCTTGAGAAACTAGGAACCAGACATCTGAAAAGCCTCTAAAAGCTACATCACAAAGTTATTACATTTAAATAGTTATGAATACTCAGCTTGATGTCTGAGACATTGATTTAGAGTAGTTTTGAGATGTTTTGGCCTAAAATGTAGGTATTTTAATCATTTTATGCTAATCTGTTTATGGTGGAGGGATACATTAAGGGTATTCTAAGCCAGTCCCTAAAGATTTTTTTTTCCTGGATTCACCACTATTTTACCATCATCAACATTACATATAAAAACCTCAGTAGACTTGTGTATGTTGGTGGTTTTAGATATTAAATAAAATTGTTATATTTGTGTTGTAGACATTGTGACCCCTGGTGCCCATCACCACCACTGTAAATGAATGACTGTGTACATTTCAACTACTGAATTATGCAGACACTTAGAAAAAATGGTGGAATTCTCTTTTAACTGGCACCAGCTCTATGGGTGAGGGCAAAACTCAACATTTGAAGGAAGTAAGGTGAAAGGTGATGTGAGATTTCTGTCGTCTTTGTTTCACATTCATAATAGTGTGTTTTTTCCCTTCTTTCTAAATTGACCTTTTGAACATGCATGCACTGTGGGTTAATAAGCTCCCTGGTATTGTCAGTAATGTGTGTTTTTGCTTTGGAATTCCTTTGAAACCTGTTAGATGTGGTCAGTGTATGTCAGCATATTTGAGCCACAGTCATGTGAAAGTGGATAGAAGCTGCTGACAGAACAGGTAATAGGCGTTTGTGCTTGTTCAGCTGTGAATGAATCTGAGAGGTAGAACCTCTGTGAAATGGATCCATGACAGCTCAGGATAATGTTAACTAGAGCCTGACAAGTGTCTCTCTCCCTCTCTCACTTTCTCCTGCAGGGCTCCTGAAGGCATTGGACAGCAGCTTGTGGTCACGTGATGGCTTTCCCTGTGAACCTGATTGGCCCATCTCCCTGGGGCTTCAGAATATCTGGTGGGCGGGACTTCAAGAAGGCCATAACAGTTTCCAAGGTAATGTTTTCACATCTTAATCCCAAGTACAGGTCCAGGTTAACCGTTAGCAACTTGTTTCTGTCCTAGCAAATGAAACAATGTAGCTCAGACCTTGTGTTACCTTTTGTCTTTTGTTTTTTTGCTCCATTTCCTATTCTTTTTTCAATGGCCACTGTGACCAGAGCTATCACTGGCTAGCTGGAGAGGAAGCTGCCTGATTACAGAAAGGGGAAAATATCTTTCTAATGGTCGAGCCATTGTTTTCGTTTTTTACAAGATATATTTTTCTAAGTCTCTCTTGGAAAAAGAAAAAGACCAGGAAGTGGAAGTCTCCATGTAGAACAGGAGGACGTGACTAAAGAGCTCTCCATAAACAGGCAGTGGTATGAGAGTAGAGAAAAGGGGAGAGTGTGTCTTTTACAGGCAGCATGGCTCTAAGTGAGGATATCCTGGCTGTACCACATAACAGTTAGCTGTACTGTTAGGAGTAGACACTAACAAACAATGTGTACTGGAAAAATACCATTATATTACAAGTTGGCATGTCAGAAGCTGATGTAACAGGACTGACACCCTGAACATGTTTGTTCTGAACATTGTGTACTTTGGTGTTTGTTGCTAAAGCAACATGAAGACAAAAATATTTAACTGTAAGACTTTTGAGATTTAGTAGTAAAAAGCTTAACAACTGCCTGAAGAGTAAAGAAGTTACAGCACGCTACAAACGCAATGTTGCAAACTATATAACAAATAACAAATATTAGTGCCAGCATTAGCAGACAAGGTCGCCATACTGGCAGCAGGACTACTTCCCTAAAGTTAAATAACTGTGACTTTAATGTTGGTCCATATTTGTGTGTTATGTACAAAAACTACAATGTTTGTACTGGCTGGATTTATAAATGTCATTAGCATAATCCAAGCTAGGAAGGCATTTGAGGCTTTTTCTGGCTATGAGCGGTTAATGACAGAGATGCTTGAGTCTTGAGTTTCGTTAAAGGGCATGAATTACTGGGCAGGATAAGTACATGTGTTGGACAGTGGACTATATTTGATTGAAGTGTTATTGGAAGTGAGTTCACCTAAGCATGCACTGGCACTTAGTTTCAAAAGTTGGCAATAGAAACAGCAGATGCCCTTTTTCCCTCCTGAGGTCTGGAGTCCTGTTAGCCAAGCCTTAATGTATTTGGGATCATTTTAAAGGCTCAATCCCATTTCCTATTTTTACCCCTACCCCTTGTTTTTGAGTGTCACCTTGTTTAAATCTCCTCTGAAATGGGACCCTCAAATTAAAAAGAATATTACTGCTTTAACAGGCTACTAGCGCTGCTCTGTAGGTGACCCTGCCAGTCTGCAGTGATAACAGAGGAGGGTGAAGTTCAGCAATCTCACTGCTGGGCTTTAGTTACATTTAGGGCATCATATGCCTTTGAAGAGGGGGATGTGATAATTATTTATTACTGCCCACCCCTAATTCTTCAGTGATATGAAGCTGAAGTCAGCTATTTGCCAGCTTTGCGTTCAAATTTTCCCATTCCACATTAAATGGAGCGGCACTTATATTCTGGTGCTTCAGGTGTCAGAACTGCTCAGCTATTAAAGTGGAACGGGAAATTTAGCTAGCTAGTTACTGAGACATCAGCATACTGGTAGCGCGATTTTTTTTTTTGCTTGTTTTAAAGAAAAGAACCATAGTACACTGAAGCGACATTAAACTCAAGTCAAGTCAAGAGGCTTTTGTCATTCCATCCATGTACAAGTACACAGTGGAGTGAAATTACGTTCCTCTAGGAACAGGGTGCAACATGGAACAAAAGAGTACAAAGTGCAAATGTGCAGACATAAGTGTGCAAACAAAAAATTAAACTAGAAACAATGCAATAAATATGATAAAGACATTAGATACAATAAACAGACAGGACAGTGCAGCACCGACACAGCACTCATTTCTGGACATGAGGTAGTGGAATAAGGTGCAGAGATATTTAACATGCTGTGATCTGTGAGTTTACGCAGTCAGATAACATACATAAACACAGCAGTTACTGAGGTAGTACTTGAGTAAACAGTGTAAACACAGTGTTAGCAGCAATGTTCCAGATAGTGCCAGTAGAGCATCAAAAGAGGTGCGTGTGTGTGTGTGTATGCAGAGTATGTGTGTAAGGGTTTTCAGATCAGTCCTTGTGAGTTTAAAAACCTGATCGCTTGAGGAACAAAGCTGTTGCAGAGTCTGGCAGTGATGGCACGGATGCTCCAGTACCTTTTGCCAGATGGCAGCAGTGAAAAAAGTCAATGTGAGGGATGGATGGGGTCACCCACAATGCTGGTGGTTTTGCGGATGCAGCGTGTGGTGTAGATGTCCATTATGGAGGGGAGAGAGACCCTGATGATCTTCTCGGCTGTCCTCTCTATACGCTGATGAGCCTTCTTCAGTCTCCGCAGGAAGTAGAGGCGCTGCTGGGCTCTCTTGGCTATGAAGGTGGTGTTGAGGGACCAGGTGAGGTTCTCTGTGACATGGACACCGAGAAACTTGGTGCTCCTGATGATTTCCACAGCAGAGCCAGTGATGTTCAGTGGGGGGTGGTTACCTCGCACTCTTTGGAAGTCAGCAACCATCTCCTTAGTTTTGTCCACATTCAGAGACAGGTTGTTGTTTCTGCACCAGTCCGTTAGCCGCTGCACCTCCTCTCTGTACGCTGCCTAATTATTCTTGCTGATCAGACCCACCACCGTCGTGTCATCAGCAAACTTGATGTGGTTTGAGCTGTACTTTGCAGTACAGTCGAGAGTCAGTAGAGTGAACAGCAGTGGACTAAGCACACAGCCCTGAGGGGCGCCGGTGCTCAGTGTGGTCGTGCTGGAGATGTTACCTATCCTGACTAACTGAGGTCTCTCAGTCAGGAAATCCAGGACCCAGTTACAGAGGGAGGTGTTCAGGCCCAGTAGACTCAGATAATACAATGGTTATCATATTAAGATTTAATGGAGAAAATACTCACATTTGTGAGTTTCTTTGGTCACTTGCACAGCCATCTTGTCTTTTTTGTTCTCATAACACTCGATTTGGGAAAAAAACTCCATGCCATGTAGCCCTAACACTTTGCCCTACCCCTCTATCTCAACAAAAATCAGGACACCCTACCCATAGATGTGAACGTGCAAAACAGAGGGCTAACGGGCAAGGGGTGAAGTGGGATTCGGCCTTTAAAACCCATTAGATTTTACACAAAAGCCATTTTTGTGTTTATGGGATAAAAAAAAATGCCTTCACAGCTTGGACTGCCACTTCCCTTTTTATTCACTTTCCACATTAACTTCAAACAGTGAATTTATTTTCAAGGACCCAAAACCCCCAGTTTAACTTTAAAATTGTTTTTTGAAACCACCGCTGACATTCTTTTGTCAGTGGCTGTGCCTTCCACCAAGCCAGTACAAGCATGCCTGGTGTCACAGCATAAGCAGTCAGGAGAAATAAGGGAGTCTCACGATTGTCGTGCAGTTGGGAGAAAGCAGGTTGTAAGTGTTACTTGCACATTCCTAAGGGAACTGCACTGTTGTAGAAACGGGTTAGAAGGAAGCAGCCTGAACAGCATGGTCGTATGTTTCCCTTTGGTTCTTCATTGCCTCCCAAAAGGGTTCCACAGTCAGACAGGCTGGGTGGAAGTGGTGAGAGGTTGGCATGGGGACACTTCCCTCCCTCTTGTTTTTCCTTTCTCTCAGTGGTTGTCTGTCTCTGTTTCTCACAATCTCTCACAGTATGCTTCGTCAGTAGTGTCTTTCTCCCTCTATATATTTAGTGTATGCATGGTTTATAAGCCATTTAATTCTCTCTCTCTCTCTCTCTCTCTCTCTCTCTCTCTCTCTCTCTCTCTCTCTCTCTCTCTCTCTCTCTCTCATATTGTCCCTTCCTCTGTGGTCATGTATCCTGAATGAAAAAGGGACATCTTTAGTCTATGTGAAATGAGCCATGGTCTGATTGGACAAGGCATGTACTATTGTGGGTCGCCGTGGTGACGGTTAATTGCCACTCGAGTGGGCCCACAGACATGGCACCTTTGCTCCCCCTGCTTTCAATACAGATGGAAAAAAAAACAACATCGGTTGGTGTTTTGGAGCTCTGTCATTTTGTTTCTGGGGTTACTGGTTTCCTTTATCTCTCTTTGTTCTAATGGGGTTGAAGTCTTATTGACTGCAGAAGCTTGAGTGGAGTGTAACTGGTACTCCAGTCTCAAAGGAGGAGCTTTTGTTGAATTTGTTCTTAAGAAGTCAGTGTTGTCCCCTGCATCTCATTACAATGCCACTTTGTGGCTTCTCTGATCTTGAGGGACTTGAGCTTTTTACTCTTGTAAGGGCTTGGTGTTGTTTTCTCAGTGTCACTTCGCGGAGTGCCCTGGGCTTCAAACCCACAACCGTGTTCCACTGCCTTCACTAGAGGGGAACGGTCACACGATACAAGCCAGAACACAGTAACACAGAAGTGTTCAGTACTAAGTAATACTGGGCTATATGTGTTTGTACTGGTGTTGGTGTTGCATGACAGTATTGATTTATAATTTTAGCAGTATTGGAAGATACTTAGATGAAAAACTCTTTCATTTTCTACTTCAGACTGATGTGAAAGAACATTCAAAATGCATGAAAAATTAACAGTAAGTTTTATTTCTGAGTGTCTGGTTTATGTCTATAATGCTGTGCAAATAAAACAATCCAATAAAAATAAGCTCTGTCAAGTTCGTAAAGCATTCTTTCAGCACGAGTATTCAAGGAAGCATGGGTACATTGACTTTTTTAAGGCAAACTGGAATATCTGTTACCATGATACTGTGATGCATTTGGTAAATGTGATGATATTGAATTTTAGAGCTTGAACTGACATCTGCAGGGTGAGGTGACAACGAGGAGCCGGGCTGAGTACCCCCACTTCCTTAGTTCCATTGCAAAAGGACTAGGATTACTAATCTTACTATGAGTTAATAAGGGTTATTTCTTTTCTGATTGGTCAACTGTGTTTATCTCTAGGTAAACTCTGGCAGTAAGGCTGAGATGGCCTGTCTCCAACCTGGTGACATCATTATGGAAATAAATGGAGAAAATACTGCTGACATGCTCAACGTGGAGGCGCAGAACAAAATCAAGAGTTGCAAGACAAGTCTGCAGCTGCTAGTGGAGAGGTGAAACCCTACACACTCATACAGACACCCATTGATACATACACAGACAAGATCTAGCACCATTGGAATTGTTCGCTCTGCAGACAAACATATTAACGTGCATGAAGATCTAAGGCACAGATGTGGTTCTTAATTAAAAAAAATAGTGGTGTCAGTATCTGTCACATCTAGTCAGGTCATGCCCAAACATCAGTCTAAAGAGCGTTCCAGGCAGACTCTGACTCCACATCAGGCTCTAGACCAGGGGTGTTCAGCTCTGTTCCTGAGGGATTGATGTCTAGTACTCACTCACTCATTCACCCACTCACTCACTCACCCAAGCTGCATATCCTCCTGGGTCGTGGAGCGATGCTGGAGCCTATTCCAGTGCTGATTGGGCGGAAGGCAGGAAACACCGTGGCCTGATTGCCAGTCCATCACAGAAATCACACACATACACATGCTCGCTCTCTCACTCACTCTCTCACTCTCTCACTCACTCACTCACTCACTCACTCTCTCACACACACACACACACACACACACACACACACACACACACACACACACACACACCCCTAGGGGCAATTTAGTATCTCCCACTAGCCCGACTGTATGTCTTTGGACTGTTGGAAGAAACCGGAGCACCCGGAGAAAACTCCACACAGAAAAGACCCTGATCGCTCATCCAGGAGAATCAAACCTAGGCCCTTCTTACTGTGAGGCGACAGTGCTAGACAATGACTCGCACCGTGTTCAACTCACTTGTAAATTGCCAAGTTTAGTGGGTGCGTTTGAGTAGGGAACATTGGCTGGACTTCGGCCCTCTAGGCCTGGAATTAAACACTGCTCAAGACGATGACTGTACTCAGTTGAACAATGATTGAAAATTTAATTTCAGTAAGTAAGTCTCGCATACTTGGCCATCTCTTCATCTGTCTCATTTGCTTCTTTTCTGTCTGGTTGGACCTAGGGTGGCTCAGTGGCTTGACCCTTTCAGCATCTCTCCCTCTCTCCCTCTCTTTCTCTCTTTGAACCATGTGGCATTGCCAAGTGCTTAGCTGAGAACAGTAGTCGCTTGAGTTAGCCACTACACTGTGCAAACATGCCATGTTATTTTGTTTAGTAAAAAGAGAGACCCCTGTCTGCAGTTACTCCACCCAGGAAAGGGAACAATTGGCTTCTGGAGTTCTTGCAGACTTTTTTTTGTTATACAGCCTTCGTTTGCTTGTTTTCCTTTTTTGACAATGAGCTTATGTGTGTATACACACCATTTTACTCACAGGCAGGCACACTTTCACTCACATCCTCATTTAAAGGTATTGCCTTAGGCACTTGTATGAAGGCGTACCTATTGGAAATGCAGTGCCATAAACAGATTACACAAACCAATTATAAGCGTGATTTGAAGTTTGTATAAATGTCTGGGCACATACAGTCACAGCACTACATACACACTGGCGCACCCAGATCCATGCGCTTTCCATCTGTGTGCATGTGACTTTGCATTTTTCCCAGCTCACCTCACATCCTTGTCCAGTCCAGAACAATACTGTGTGGGCAGTTGCGCCCTGCCGCAGTATGTGCATGTGTTTGTGAGCATCTCCCTGGAGGACTAGATGCTGCCCTCTCATATTTGTTTACAGTTGCCCCCATCCGCACTTCCTTACAATTTTCGAAAATAGAGGGGGTGTGTGTTTTTTTTTGGTTCAGTTATCTTTTCTTTTTAAGAGGAAGGTTATGTCAGCATGACTTTGTCTTTCTCTAGCCATTGTAGCCAGTCAAGCTTTTGGTTATACGACAAAGAACTATATGTGGAGAATTTGATGGCTGATGAATTGCAGTGTAATGTATTTCCCTTAAATCCTGCACAGTTTTCTATAGGAGAATTGAATTGCAAGTATAACACTACCCAAGTACATTTTTAACTTGCACTCACATTAAACTTTTTTTCTGGCTTTGTTTTATTGAGATCTTTGTCTCCAGCTACACAAGAGCTTCCTGTGACCTGAAATGCCCCCCATGGGGAAGGCTTAAAGGGCCTTTTGTAAAGGTCTTTTTTGGAATTATCACTCCTTTGGACTAATAAAACTAGTTATGGTTCTAGGAATTCTGGATTATTGCCAGAGGCAGCACAATGCACTGTGGCCACTCCTTGTATGCCTGCCCACAGGTCAAGCTCTTATATCAACAAAGTTCTGCAATGATGTGCTCTCTGGCACAGACATTAATAACCTGTTAACCCAGATGTCCAGATTCTGTTAATCAAGAATCTCCAAGCAGATGCTGACTGACTAACGACTCAAAGGCTCACCTGAAAGTCAACCATAGAACCACAGTTACATTTTTAACTAGCATTTTGTTTAAATCCTACTGATTGCCAGAGGTGGTGTGAAGCACAGTGTGTAAAGAATGGCATGAGGAATGGAACTAGTCTAAAGTGAGCACCACCAAGCTTGCGCATGAGGTGGGACCACAGTATTTGTGCAGGCTTGTGACACAGTAGCAATGGCATAGACATCCACCAGTGAGATACTGGAATTTGTATTTTGACAGAGAAACATTTTTACTCTTGACAATGTAGCAGACAATTTAACTGATCTGAATGACAAGTGTCAGCTTCCCTGATCCTGGGTCAAGCCCACATAATAATTCAAGACCTGGGCTGGTCATAAAACAGAAAGGCGGTCAAGTGAAAGTTTGAGCGTAGATGGGGAACAACCTTAACACACCTTGGCTTCCTGGCTGAGACATGAGATCCTTCCTGTGTGATGGCCATGATGAGGGATAGCAGTGTAAGAACCATGGTCTCACAGTTATTTATAGAGGTGTTCATGGTGAAATGCAGTGGTTGGCCTAGCACAGATGGTCTGTAAGCCATGTACCAAGATACCTAGGCCCAGCAGCCAGATGCAGCAAGGAGAATTCCTGAGAATAAAATCATTCCAAAGAGGTCTCTCTCTACCAACTCTAAATGACCTGAGTCAGGAGTAGCCTTGGGACGGTAAACGATATTATCGAATATCGTGATCATTTCAACCAGTGATGATATGAATTAAATTATCGTTTTATTTTTTATCATGTACCCTTGCCATATGAATTTTTTTTTTGTTGTTGTTCTTTGTATTTAACCATTGACTTTGTACAAGCATTCTAATGTATGGTATTTTAAAATTTTAGACCTAAGCTATAACAGCAAAGACGGTATTTAAGTATAGACCATGCAAACATAACTAATTAACTACAAATATTTTAAAACACCACTTGAAAAGATTAGAATGTAGTGTTTCAGTCTGGCAAAGAATGCTGGGTATATGCAAATGAAACACTCCGCTACATGTGACCGTCTCCCTAGACGGTGAAAAATGAACGAGCTTGTACAATATTTTGGTTTCCAACCAGACGAACACGGAGAACCGTTAGATGTTAACAGTGTTACATGCCATCTATGCAGAAAACTGATCATCACCAAAGGCGGCAATACAGACCTTGCATCCACAGTACGAACTGCCAAGCCATAAGTACTTCAGCAAGACAGCGGCACCTGAGATGTATAATAATGTTAATTGTGTTTGAAACAAACTAGGTTGTTGAAGACTGTAATCATAATAATATTAATAATTATTCGTAGCATGTCATGCGCTAACCTGGGCTCAAGGAGGACGCTGGAGGCAGGAAAAACTTTTGCAGCAGCCATTCCTTTTAATATTTGCTTCAAACTCACACAAAATAAACTGAACAAAACCAACCAGCTCTTCAGTCAGTCTCTGTTGCTGCTGCTGCTGATCGTGAGGTGTAGTGAAGCGGCCTTGCTGCGGAACAGGGGGCAGGGCCCGGGCGGCGGAGTCAGGAGGTCAAACTTGCCATAACAAAGTCTGTAATGTGGTTGCTTGAACCAGGTTGGTGAGCAGCTCACAATGATGCAAACAGAGGACTGCCCTTGTTTGCCCAGCACACATTGGCAAGAAGTGTATCGAGGTTAGCAATGTGATGTGCGACTCCAGTTGATGGAAACCTCACTTCTAACAGACCACATCCTAAACTGATTGGGATGCCAGAGGCACGCTGTAGAGGGCATAATACCTTCATGACCATGACATTGCGATCAAAAAACGATCAAAATGTGCAATTCTCATGATGGTGCATTTGTGCTTGAGCTGGAACTGATAAAGCAGCTGCTGGAGCTACAGAGATCATGTCTACAAAAAGCGAGAAAGTGAGGAATTTTCAACAGCTGCCTGGTTTGACGTGGGACAGAAGGCTGTTTTGGGTGCCATCATGCCATGACCGAACGCCATACACTATGCTTTGCAGCAGAAATGATGCAGAACAACAAAACCATCAGCTTTAAAACACTGAATTTAAGCACCTTTCATTTTTATTACTTAAAAGATGGACATTGATCCTGCTTAAAAAAAAGGCATTGTATGTTAACAGTTGGCTTATCCCACCTGTGCCACCAGATGGACTGTGTCAAGAGAACCGTCTCTAATAGCCCAGATGAGCATGCAGTGTGGCTGATCAGTCGGTGCTAAGGGGTAGAGTATTAATGGACCTTGTCCATGGAGGCAGCTGTTTCTGAGCCTGCTGCTTTGAAGTCGTACAGCCTTTTATATACTTTTGTACTCTGTGTCCCTTTTTCTCCCTGAGGCCCCCCATGCTTGATGACCCCTCACCATTCACGTGTGAGAGGCAGGTATGATGAGAATGTTGACCTGAATGCAGTGCATTTACATGCTCTGATGCAGCACCTCACAAACACTGCACATATCGGAAAAATATGGAAATGAAAACTTTGTACAGAAGGACAAAAAATTCTTAACTTTTGCATATGTTAATGTAATTATTTTATTCCAAGTAGTTTAATGTTCACCCAACATTTAACTACCTAAGAAATGCTGATCAGACCTATCTGAGAACTGTGTGGGCGGGACTAATGAGCAGCTTGATTGACAGCTCTCTGTCCAGTACCCCATCCTGCGCTTCGACTTCTACAAAACAAAAATCATTATCTAGCTTGTATGTCACGGTAACTGGACGAAAAAATTCATGGATGAACAGATAAATGAACACACACGGATGGACAAAGCAGCATGCGAAGAAACATATGTTCGGATGGACGGACGGACAGACGAGCAAACGGATGGATAAAGCAATGCGTGGTTGAAGAGACGGATGAATGAGCAGTGTTTGCGTATGGGTAAACAAAAGAACAGGCAAAACGCAGCTGCAGACAGGTGGCCTAGCTTACTAGCTTTTGGTTATGCTGGGTTAGCTTTAACTCGCTAAGATTCTCTGACTGTTTTGTGTGGGCAGGGCAAGAGACATCAGCTTTGTGATTTTTAAAACGCAGAGTTAGGAAGAACTTAAGGACTATTATTCTGTGATAACTACTGTCCTTAATTCAGTCCTAACTGAAGTTGTCATGGTGACCAAACAGATATCAGAGTTAGGATGTTTCTGTAATGTGGCCCCTGGTCCATGCTGACAAGATTGCATCATGTAATTCCTGCAAATTTTTCAAGGGCACTTTCATGCTGTGAATCTCCCGTTCTACCACATACCAAAAGTGTTTTATTGGATTCAGATCCAGTGACTAGAAAGGCCACTGAAGAACACTGAACTCATTGTCGTGTTCACAAAACCAGTTTGAGACGACTTTTGCTTTGTCACATGTTGCATTATCATGCTCGATGTAGCCAATAGAGGATGGGCAAATTACTTGGCAATAATCCTTAAATAGGCTGTGGTATTCAAGTGATGATTGATTGGATTGATATTAACGGGCCCAAAGTGTACCAAGAAAACATTCCACACACCATTACTCCACCTCCACCGGCCTGGACTGTTGACAAAAGGCAGGTTGGGTCCACAGATTCATGCTGTTGGTGCCAAATTCGAAAACTATCTATGTGCCTCAGCAGAAATTGGCATTCATTAGATCAGACAAGGTTTTTTCAGTCTTTCACTGTCCAGGTTTGGTGAGCCTGTGCCCTGCTTCAGCTTCCCGTTCCTGGCTGAAAAAAGTGGAAACCGATGTGGTCTTTTGCTGTTGTAGCCCATGTGCCTTTAGCGTGTTGTGCATTCTGGGAATTTTTTTTTGCTCACCGAAGTTGTACAGAGTGGTTATCTAAATTACCGTAGCTTTTCTGTCAACCTGAACCAGGCTGGCCGTTCTTCGTTGACCTCTCATGTCAACAAGGCTTTTCAGTCCGCAGTTGATTTTGAGTCAACAGAATAGTGTTATTGTGGAGTAAACACAACAGAAGCCACGTGACTGGTTGATTAGATAAATATATGAATGAGTAGGTGTATACGTGTAGTTAGTGTGTGTGTGTGTGTGTGTGTGTGTGTGTGTGTGTGTGTGTGTGTGTGTGTGTGCATGCATATTTTTTGGCAAAAGCTAATTTTCATTGATATTACATAATTGAGATTATATATAGTTTGCGATTATTTATTGTGTGCGTGTGTGTGTGTGCATGTGTACACTATATTGCCAAAAGTGTTCACAGGTGTTCCAATCACTTCCATGGCCACAGGTGTATAAAACCAAGCACCTAGGCATGCAGACTGCTTCTACAAACATTTGTGAAAGAATGGGTCGCACTCAGGAGCTCAGTAAATTCCAGCGTGGTACTGTGATTGGATGCCTCCTGTGCAACAAGTCCAGTTGTGAAATTTCCTCCTTACTAAATATTCTAGTCAACTGTCAGTGGTATTATAACAAAGTGGAAGCGATTGGGAACGACAGCAACTCAGCCACAAAGTGGTAGACCACGTAAAATGGCAGAGTGGGGTCAACGGATGCTGAGGCGCATAGTGCGCAGAGGTCGCCAACTTTCTGCAGAGTCAATCGTTACAGACCTCCAAACTTCATGTGGCCTTCAGATTAACTCAAGAACAGCGTAGAGAGCTTCATGGAATGGGTTTCAATGGCCGAGCAACTGCATCCAAGCCTTACATCACCAAGCAATGCAAAGCGTCAAATGCAGTGGTGTAAAGCGCCGCCACTGGACTCTAGAGCAGTGGAGATGTGTTCTCTGGAGTGACGAATCACGCTTCTCCGTCTGGCAATCCAATGGATGAATCTGGGTTTGGTGGTTGCCAGGAGAACGGTACTTGTCTGACTGCATTATGCCAAGTGTAAAGTTTGGTGGAGGGGGGATTATGGTGTGGGTAGGGCTGGGCGATAAAACGATAACGATGTATGTAACATGTTACATATGTTAGATGTTACATTTATATGTTCCACCATTTACATGTTCCAACCTGTATAATTTGATCTAAACAAAGCTGAATGGTCAGTATGTAAAGAACTATCTACAGATGCAGGCATAGAATTTTCAGTTTGTTGCTGTTCACATTTAAACACTACAGTGCACATCAGGATGCATCATGGTTTTAAAAGTTGACGTTCAGACCTTGCTCTTATACATGCATCATTTTGGCAAAACTGTTCGTCATAAATCAGTGGTCTGACACAGCACCAACCCCTTCAAGCTATTGAGCATTCCATATGTGATTTTCCTCAGTTCGAGCGTGAGTGCTACCTTGCCGACCTGCTCTAAATCACTGCAGGTCAGCCCCAAGAAACACTTTAAACCAGAGCAGTTCAAGAGCTGTTGAGAAACGTTAGAATTTATGGCTGCTCTTCAAACTGGAGCTTCCCAGCTGTGTAGAAACAGCACATTCTCTTGTTTCTTTCCTCCACACTGCCCTCTACAAGGGGAGGGTTAATGTTCAGAGGCCAGATGTCAAAGGCTAATGAAGATAATAAAGTTGGTGTTTGACTTTGACCAAACTGAGTTTATGGCCTGATTGTTGAGTGCCATACATTTTTGTATGCCAGTCATTCTGTCACCGTCGGAACATTTAGTTCTTAGTAATTGTTGCTGTTTTCTTGAAACTGCAGATCATGCATGTGCAAGTTCTTATTGCAAGGCCTTATTATGCTTTTTAACAATGTGTGCTTGTAAAAATGTTTAAATACGGACAGCCACCATCCATCTCTTGCTAATAGTGCCTGTCCTGGTCTGTGTTTTGCTGGTATTATTGATTAGAAGTTCCGTAACATAGATCAACACACATGTTGAACATGCTGCGTTTGTAGCAACAATGATGAATAGCATCTCCTGGCAGTAAGGATTCTGTCTCTGCCCCAGATGTGTTTTAGCAGCATCTTTGTGAGAAACTGAGGCAGCATTGCTCGTAGTTTGGTTAGCTGTTAGATGTTTTTACGCAGTTTATCTCTGCTATCCGAAGCCCTGCTTCAGGCTTCCTCGACTATAGCCTAAGGATTGATTAAAGGGAGAGACAGATAGGCAGAGGAGAAACCAGGAACTTGGATTTTGTGTATGTGTAGGTATGGAGATCTGACTAGAGCTTATAATAATCATGCTAAATTATATTACAGCATAGAGTCCTGAACACATTGTATCTATTGGCCAGTGGTTCCATAAAAACAACAGAGATTTAGACCAGTTGTTTTTAAGAACCTGGAAACAGCAAACAGCTGTATCCAGCTAAAATGGTATTGTAACAAGAAACGAGTGAATCCTGGCCCATTATGTCATTATTTTATTTACTTGATTGTGGTTGGACTTTTTTTTTTGCCCCCCTCTTTGTCGGAATTGCAGAAAGAAACGGGTGAGGTAGAGCCAAAGCTCATTGTGTTAGTCCTTAGGTCTCTTAGTGTAAAAGCCAAAGCTCAAGTCTCCCCTTTAGGAGAAAAGTGGCAAAATGAGTTTTGGAGGGGCACATCTATCCCTCAGTCCTCAACACTCTCTGGCAGCCTGAAGTGCTCTTAACCAAGCATGCATGTCAGAAGCACTTAAAATTGTGGGCTATGGTGCTGTGTACCAAATATAAAGGTCTAGACAGCTGAACTGATTACAGCTATCCTGCCTTATTTCTACCCCTAGACTCAGGAATGCAGGAAGGTGTTTTAAGATAGGGGTGCTGAAATTTTAAGCAATGTGATGTCATGCCAAATTGCCTTTTATTTGGTGTGGTTACTGATTGTGTCATGCCCAGACTCAAACATTTACATACATTAGGCTGCTTTGGGACTCAGAACTGGCCTATAACTCTGCGTCCACATTCCCTCTTTGTACCTCAACCTGTTTGCCTATGAATGAAGCGACCCCAAAACAGCCAACAGTTTTCGGCTCACTGTAATGAAATACGGCAGTTATGGAAACAATGCAGGGCAACTACGGATTTTTAAAATAGAAAAATACAAGCTCTAAAATACACAACAAATTATTAAAAAGTTCAGGATGTTTTATGATTTATAAATATAAAAATATAAAAATTAGACTTGTACTACCTTTACTGTTTTTTACTACTTCAACGTTCATTTGTTTCTCTCTCTCTCTCTTTCTCTTCTCTCTCCTCTCTCCTGTCTGATAAATGGAGACCTGTGGTTCGCCGAGCTCTCTTAGAGTCCTCTGGATTCTGGCTCTTAATCAGGCCCTTGTGAAGCACTGCTTCCCTGTGAAGCTGAAAAAGGCCTTTTTGTGTCCTATAAGCCCAGTGGTTAATTTAAAGACAAATAAACATTTGCAGACATGTGGTGCTTCCTGGTTAAGACACTGACAAGGTGTGGTGCTGACAAGGCTGTGTTGTTGACTTATTTTCAGTTCATTGACCTTTTTCCATATGTCATTAAATGCGGCACCGTCTGTGGATCATTTGTAGCCGTGAGGTCAAAAGGAAAAGCTGCTTACTTTTCTGTCCCTTTACTTTCGTACAGACCAGTATTGCTGAAAGTCACTGAAGCATTTTGTTTGCGCCTGCAGTCACTCAGTGGCTAGTTAGTGGCTTCATAGACACAAGTTTATGTATCTTTATGAGAACCTCTGAGAAACTAATTTAGTACTAGTACTATTGGTACTTTCAACACATACGAAGGTAGTTAGCATCCCATATGGCAACTGATGGGTTGTCCTCATCTCTATCTCTACAGACCAGCCCTGCCGAGTCCTGGACAGACCAACGGGATCAATCCCACAGAGCAGTTGGTGGGCCGTTTCCAGGTCAGTGTCCATTGCTGAATGCTGTTTTATGGCCAAGAAAGGCTCTACATACAGAAAATAAGTAGATGTTTTTATTATTTTGAAATGTCTTGTATGCTAAACATATGATGTTTACATTAAATGTTTTCATTAGTTGGCATCCCTCTGTATAAACAACTTGAAAATCGCATGTTTGTGATCGAGGCTGTTAGTGTCCCATTGCCTGAACCTAAAATGCAGCATGTTCTGATCTAGTTTAGACTGCGTGTCATGTTATTTTTGGAAGTAGCTAGTTATTTGGCCTCTCTGCCTTGTCTGTCCAGCTATGTGGCTGATTTAGAACAACTATAGTCATTCATAGTCATTAAGGTCATTCAGTCAGCTTCAGCCACTTTAGAATAGCTCAGTGTCTCCATCCATCCTCTGCAAAGTGTACAGCATTTATCCTTAATCTTATTTATTATCTGTTTGTTCTTTTTATTTGCCCTTCCTGTGTTATACTGTGCACATCAACGACTGCATTCAGTTATTTATTGTCTTCAGCTTCTGTCAACAGTTGGTACAGTTGTGGCTCTCTTGTCTACTCCTCAGAGGCTTATTGCAGGTGCTCTCATTGTCAGTATCCCTCCAACATTTCTGTACAAGACAGTTCTTGTCCCCAGACTGATTTAAGTAGTTCATCTTCTCTTCCTTGCTATCTGCTTAGCAGTGATTTAAAGATTGTCAGGATGAGCTGAAATTAGGCATAAGAGTATGGTCCCCTCCTTTTTTGGTTCCTGGCGAGATGGCCATAACTCTAGGGCCGTGAGATATGTGAAAGGAACCTGAGAATGTCATAAATAAGACCAAGTTGCTGCATTTCATCTTCCAGAGGGGTTGCCAGCGGCTGTCTGTGGTAACATTAGGAGGATCTCTGAACCCCAAAGGTGAAAACTGAGATTGAAGTAGAAACCATCCAGTGATCAGCCTGCGGAGATGGAATATATAAGTTAAGCCGCAGTGCGTGGGGTGGATGAGCATACTCCTCTTGGGTTTTATGAAAATGAGACCTTAAGTAATGTAAATTGCTTTCTTGGTTTTGAGAGTTGAACTATTTGCATTTAGGATCTTCTTTACTCAGCCATTAAGTTCGAACCCTTCATCGTAGCTTTAGGCCATTTCCTTATTATGTTTTCTCTGTGGATCTATAGGAGGCTGTGCAAGTGAGCCGAGATGAGAACCAGAACTACAGAGAATACTCTATCTCCAGCCCAGCATCACTCTCTCCAGGCCCATACTCTCCAGACCCCCCCTCCAGCCCTGATCATAAAGGAGACAGGATCACACCCACCAGCAACAAAAAGTAAGGGTGGCTGCAATACCAGAATTTTCTCTTCAGTATACTGATACCAAGTGAGCTGTGGAAAATCTGGAAAACACTCAAATTCAGCACACACATTGCTAAGCTTATTTTCAACATGTTCTGCAGGGAATATTGGACATAAGTTACAAATTCTAGTGATACTACTGAATAAAACTCTTCATCTGCAGAATACAGCATATGTAGACTGACCGCTTCATTAAGGACATTTCCTTGTTTCTACACTCTTTGTCCATTTTATCAGATCTATTAACCACACAGGTGTACTCTGTAGTTCTGCAATTACAGACTGTAGTCCATCTGTTTCTCTGCATACTTTATACTAGCCCCCTTTTACCCTGTTCTTCAATAGTCAGGACTCCTACAGGACCACCACAGAGTAGGTATTATTTGGGTGGCGGATCATTCTCAGCACTGCAGTAACACTGATATGGTGGTGGTGTTTTAGTGTGTGTTGTGCTGGTCTGAGTGGATCAGACACAGCAGTGCTGCTGGAGTTTTTTAAACACTGTGTCCACTCACTGTCCACTCTATTAGACGCTCCTACCTTGTCAGTCCACCTTGTAGATGTAAAGTCAGAGACAGTAGCTCAAATGTTGCTGCACAGTTTGTGTTGGTCATCCTCTAGTCCTTCATCAGTGGTCACAGGACGCTGTTGGCTGGATGTTTTTGATCGGTGGGCTATTCTCAGTCCAGCAGTGACACTGAGGTGGGTAAAACTCCAGCAGCACTGCTGTGTCTGATCCACCCGTACCAGCGCAACACACACTAACACAGCACCACCACGACAGTGTCAATGCAATGCTGGGAATGATTCACCACACAAACAATGGTGGTCTTGTGGGGGGTCCTGACCAGTAAAGAAGAGGGTAAAGGAGGTTAACAAAGTATGCAGAGAATCAGATGGACTACAGTCTGTAATTGTAGAACTACAAAGTGCACCTATATAGTAAAAGGGGCTGATAAACTGGACAGTAAGTGTAGAGACGTGGAGGTGTACTTAATGAAGTGGCCAGTCTGTGTGTGTGTGTGTGTGTGTGTGTGTGTGTGTGTGTGTGTGTGTGGTTGTGCCTAATTTTTATGCACATTAGGTGATATTGGGAGAATATATACAATGTATTGTTATGTAAACAGTTATTTAGTTTGCACATAAGAAAATTGTTTTGGTATGCAATTTTTATTTTCAGGGACAGAGGAAGTAATTTATGATTGGCTGGCCTGATCACCAGTGCATCATTAGTTAAAACAGGAATAAAAATGTCTGAAATGCAACATATGAGTAGTTAAAATATTAAAATAATAAAGTTGTTGTTGTTGTTGTTGTTGTTGTTGTTGTCGTCTTACAGTACATTTTTTGACAAAGTAAGGTGCAGAACATCTTTGTGCGTGTTCACAATATTCCCCGGGAAATTCAGAAATGTAATTCCATACTTACTAACTACTTCATGACTTATGAATGATTCATATAAGGTTTAAGTTTGTAAATAGCAACTCAGCATGAGCAGTAGACCACATGACTTCATCTCACAATAGATATACACTGAGATCACATGGAGATTTGCTGGGAAGTTGTGCAATAAGAATTTTTATTTATTTGTTTGTTTGGAGGTAGAAGACTACAGCCTTAGCTTTTACTTAGTGTTTCAAACCCACCAGCACATCTGTAAAACCATTAAGCCAAGAAACTGTTGTTGCAGCTATGCAGTTATGACTAAATATCTAGTGCCAATAGTATGAAATGTTTATTTTTTGTTTTCCCAAACTAAAGTTTTTTTTCTACAATTATTTGTTCTCCTTGTGATGTTTTCATCTCTTTGTTCTGTTACTGTAAATATTCAGAATATGTAGCTGTGGTTTCTGTAGTACTGGCCCATTTTATGTCAGCTCCAGTGTTCTGTAGAACCTACAACAGGAATGATACTTGACATCAAAACAGCAGCTTGAAGTTGTTTAACAGTAGATTTTTCATTTCTAGCCTGCAGCTCCGTTCCTGGTCCCCAGAAGAGAAAAACTCCAGTCACAGACTGTCAAGACCACTTTCTCAGGTAGGAGCCCCACAAAACAACATCTGAGTGCGAGGTACCAGAACATCTTTAAACTAGTGTAAACGTGAGCATCAGCGATACACATTTGGCTATGAGCTCATCCCCAGACAGAAATGTAGGACTTGTTCAAACACAACACATTCAGAGCAGCCCTGAAGGTGTGAACTTCTCTCTCCTCCAGTCCAAATGTCTTGTGTCTTGAGTGAATCTTCAGTGCATCCAAAGAGTTTTTGCAAGAGTGCAGATGATGGACTGTGCTTAAGATTTTTTTTTTCAGTGTTCGCCTGAGATGGCGATTTGGCATATGAATGTGTTTGGGGAAACAGTCAGTTTTTAGTAGCATGGGCTTGCTGTAATATCTGTTCTTGAATACCAGGCCTTGAAGATTGTAAACGCTGAGGAAATAAGATTACGAATTCCATCTGCTAATTACATCCTCTCCTCCACAAGAAAGAGCTTAGCAATTTTGATATTTTCATAGCGGGCGGTAAGTCTGAAAAGTCTGGAAAGGTTGCACTGTCCAGCTGGCATTTACTCACAACACAAGCTGGAAACGGTTAATTCAAAAGATCATTGTGAGGAAAAGAGCAATTATGGGTTGGGGAGAAACAACGTGACCTTTTCAGTGACTTGGGCTCATTAAAAGCATCTTATATTAACATGATCCAGTCTATTAGCTGAGTAAGGATAATCAGTTAACTATGTATCATCACTGATATCAAAACCTTTAAGATAATTTGTTTATTTTCCCCATGTAAACACCTACCCATTACATTGATCATTTCATGATAATTGGGTCAAAGGAAATAGATACATGGGAAATGATTTACATTAAAATACATGACATTAATTTATATGAAAGTTGAATGTTTCTTCTTTTTCTAATAGAAAAAAAAACATTTCAGAAATAAAAGGTTTCTTTACGACAGTGCCAAGATTATCTGCTAGTCAAATATAATTGCCAGAAGTTGGAGAATGACGTATGATGAGTGGAGGAAGAGAGGACGTTTGAGAGAGAACAGAGTGTGTTGAATACGCTAAAATAGTGAATTGTGTTGTGGGAAAGTTCATTTTGAGATATGTAAGCTATGCAACATCAGCCTGACTCCCACAGAAGTCACTTGAAGACAGCTGACAGAACAGGAAAAAACAGCCAGGGACCTTTGATGGCTGATGGCATTCCAGTCATTTTCTAAGTGATCTGGACGTTGGATAAACACACACTCACTGACACGGCCTATTAAACACAGTAACGTCCCGATTCCCCTGGTAGAAACAGTCAGGCCGTTGCGTAGATGGCCAACCTGATTGGTCATGGGAGGGCTCCAGGCCGTTTGCCTTAACCACAGGCCTCAGTTATGTCAGTTACTTTCAGGCAATCTTTGAAATTGAGATTTGTCAGTACAAGGTTATATTAGTTATAAATAACCAATTACCAAAGTGTTCAACCGAGACTGTGTTTTTTATTTATTTGTTTATTTTTTTGACAAAGTTTGTTGTGCACAGCTTGCTAGCAAGCTGAGGAAGCCTGGGAAAGAAAGGTCAAATGAGAAAAAGCTCCTGGTCTTGTTTCATGCCTTGATTTGGATATGTTCAGAAAAACGTCAGCCATCTGCAGCCTGCCGATGTTTGTTTGTTTGTTTGTTTGTTTGTTTGTTTGTTTGTGTGTGTGTGTTTCTGTAAAGCCAAAATCTGAAATTGCAACAGCTGACAGACCTGTTTTTACATCACTCACGATGAACATTTGAAAAAAAGAAAGATAAAACAACCACCAGAAGTAAAATGAAAGTACATGTAGTCTCTATTCATTATCGCTGCGGTAGACCTGAGACCCAGGGCCTGTCTCACGAAGCACATACAACTTAGACAGGGTTTCTGACTATGTTTTAGGTTCATAAAACCTAACAAATGCAGCCACGGTTAAATCCTTAATCCTCGTGCACATGAAAGCGTGATGTTTCTGAAGAACAGACAGTTGTGTGAAGCACCTTATCTCTCGAAGTGGTGAAAAAGAAATCATAACACAGAAACATGTAGTAAGTAAAGCATTCATAACAGTAACAAGCACCACTCTTACTGCTCTTGGTCTTGGATCCAAGAAAATAAATCTTAAATGACTTACATGCAAATATTACGTTAATTTACATGAAAGTTAAAAACGTTTCTTCTTCTGACCACCATGGAGCTTCACACTATACAAAGCTGTGCAAATCTCACCTGCATGGACTGACCCTCCTGATGATGCCACTGCTGCTGCTGCATAAACTCAAACTGTCTAATTAACCATTGCTCCACCTGTTTTTCCCCGTTTTTGTGTTCTAATACTTCATACTAACGCTGTTTGCTATCCGATGTCTAACAGAGAAGGATGGGTTCCCCTTTTGAATCTTGGTTCCTCTCGAGGTTTCTTCGTCTTGCTCTTAGGGAGTTTTTCCTTGCCACTGTCGCCATTGGCGACGCTCATGGGGGCCTGGACCCGGATTTTTCTGTAAAGCTGCTTTGTGTCAACAGCTGTTGTAAAAAGCACTATATAAATAAACTTCGACTTGACTTCTTTCTCCAATTAAAAAAAGCTGTGCTGGTGCTTATTGGAGTAATGACAGCTTTATGTTCTGGGTATGTTTTCTCTGCTGTAAAGCGATACTTTTCAGAGGACTAGTGCCACAAATGCCATGAAGAAGTGAGCCAGAAAGGAGCAGAGGGGTCCACCTCTGTTAGAAAGCTGTCTGTTATTGGTTGAACTCTGCCTTGATTGGTCCAAGAGTTGTTTATGATCCAAAATCCTAAACTTAGCCTGCCTTGGAGCAGGTTAGACATGCAGCAGAAGTTTCCGATGATGTAGTCCAGTAAAAGAGCTATTCACCATTGTGAGACCAAAAATCCAGAGTTACACCGAACTAAGCATAGTCTGCCTGCTAAGCATATAATCTTGTTTTAAGCCTCAGTACGCTTTTAATTAGAAAATAAAAAATGTTTGCCTTAAACTTTTTGCCCATTCTTGTTGGTGGTCTTGCTTATTGCATCGGCCTGTTAAAATTTTAGCATTGCGGCAGCTTCTGATGGCTCCTCTTCTCATGCTGTGGATCTGTATATTAACCACTACATTCCATTGCATTTCCCAGTGTGAACACACTACTTGTGTTAAAAGTAGCTAGTACACTATGGATGTGCTTAATTTGAGACAGAGCTTTGGTCTCACTCACTCAGTTTTGGGCCTTGCACTTAGCTTCCCAATCACTTAACGCTGCTCCACAATCATAGCACAATTTATTGCTGACCATAACTGAATCCTAATGGGGGTCAGCACCCTCTTTTAGTGTCCCTCCATTATCATATGCCCAGAACAACATTGCTGTCATTCCTCTCAGGCTCTATCTGATTCTTCCATCCCCAGTGATGACAGAGGAATGTGTTCTGAGGAGGTTCTGTTACTTAGATGGTTTTGATACGGGAAGATAACATATTTAAGTGCTGATGAACGCTCACAGCAGAGCAATAGGGAGTAGACAGCATGGAGTTAGCTTTGTTAAACAGAATTGTGGATCAGAAGTTGATCACTAGCCAAGTGCCAGTGGATATATTGTTGATTACAGTATTGGTGCCACTAAACAATATTGTTTTTTTTTAGTTTTAGCAATGGATTAAGTCTTCAGGATGTTTTGAAAGAACAGATCAGTACACATAAAGGCTATATATATACTGAATTTACTTTCTACAGATTTGGTTTCTGTCTGGATGGCCTTGACGGTCCTGTGTGAGGTTTCCGAAGCTGTGCCAAGTTTGAAGGCATTCTTAGCAATGCTCAGGAAGCATGGGTTCATTAACTGTAATGTAAATTCATAGATCATTGAATACAATCATGATAAAGTCATATATTTGGAAAATATTGTGATCAATAGTACCCAGTATTACACAAGCCAAAGAGATGATAGCGAAAAGCAGAAATGACTGGGGGCAGCAGGATTGATCAGTAAAGATTTGGGGTCGTTGTAGTCTTTTTCATATACACACACACACACACACACACACACACACACACACACACAGTCACCCATGGGGCTGTGTGTTTCATCTTCATTATCAGTTGAAGGAATGTTCAGTGATGCATGCTTGTCTGCTGTAAGGGTCCTCTGCGGTCAGCTCTTGTGTGTATTTGTGCAGTCTGAGGGTCCCGGGAAGAACCCAAAAGGAAGAGACTCTCTGTGTGGTGCCTGAGAGGGTCAGGACGTTTCCCTCACATTCTTCTGAAAATGCCCTTTCTCCTCGTTTTTCATCCTCACAGTGGAATCCCTTCATCCCCTCTTTCTTTTTCTGACTTGCCTCTCATCTCTTCAGGGGGCACTTGCATGTTGCGTTTTTAAATCAACTATGTTTTTAACCCCTTAAAATCCCAGCCTTATTACACACTAAGGCTTATTAGTCAGTAGCTACAAGGACTTCAGTGCAAACTGGCTGAGCAGTTATAAGATTATACAGGGAGATTCACTCGAAAGAGGCCCTGAATATTCTGTTGTAACTCTCGTTAGGATGAAGCAATCTGAACCAGTGAGGTGACCCAATAGGTTCGCACCATGCAGATGCGCTGCTCCATACTGTACACCACCATCCTGATGAGAAGTTGGGTGGTTACAGGGGTATGCACGTTGCAAACATAGGTTAAACATTGCGACAGCTGTCCGGCGCCTACTTCATCGCTCTGACGCAGGGGCATCCCGGCTTGTTCGAAGCTCCATATACTGAGGAGCACATTGCACATTGTTTCATTCAGATCGCTGTGTCCTAGCGAGAGTTATTACAGAATATTTGGGACCTCTTTTGAGTGAATCTCCCTGTAGAAGTGTGTAATAAAACTTTGGGTACATTGGTGGTCTCTGGCCATTTAAGGGGTTATTTTTTTTCCACTATATTGCATCACAACTGCAATGTGTGGCAACATAATCACAGTGCTAGGTGTTTGTATTGTGTAGTGTGCGTGTATATGTTTGTTTCTGTTGGTCCAC